GCGATCGGGGCTTTTTTGCAGAAAACAAATCTCTGCTGTCTACACTGGCCCTTTTGCGCAAAAGTTTTTCAGAAAAAGACTTTTGCCCGAACGGGAGCAGCATAGTATTTCCGCAAAAACACTGACAATCTTACATGAGATCGTCAGTGCTTTTGCGGAAGTTCAAGTGGCCATTGTAGACAGCTGGCAAGTTTTTCCGGAAAAGTGGCCAGTCTAGACACAGCCAAGCTGTTTAGTTTTGCCAGTATAACTGTGTCTATACTAAGTACTCTTGCCAGCACAGGCATGCCCATCACAAATCACAGCTCATCAGAGATTGTAGTGTAGAGCTAGCTTACACTTTCTTACATAAAACTGGGATGGGGGATAGGAGAAGAATGTGTTGGTTTTGCTTTTACTTGAAAGCTAGTAGTTTTTGTTAAGTTTAGAAATTGAATAAGGAAAAGTTATTTACTTGCTCCAATAACATAAGAACTAGGGGTCACCGAATGAAATTAATAGGTAACAAGTTTAAACAAACAAAGGAAGTATTTCTTGATGCAGCATACAACCTGTGGAAATCCTTGCCAGAGGATGTTGAGAAGGACTTTAGCACAGTTCAAATAAGAATTAGATAAATTCATGGAGGATACGTCTATTAATACTTATTAGCCAGGATGGGTAGGAATGATGTCTAACACTGTTGGTCAGAGGCTGGAAATGGGTAACAGGAGATCGATCACTTGAAGAGTCCCTGTTCTGTTCAGTCCCAATTTGTACCTGATATTGGCCACTGTTGGAAGACAGAACACTGGGCTAGATGGATCTTTAGTCTGACCCTGTATGGCTGTTCTTAATACATGTTAAACTGAACACATGGGCTGTGTCTAGACTGGCCAGTTTTTCCGGAAAATCAGCTGCTTTTCCGGAAAAACTTGCCAGCTGTCTACACTGGCCGCTTGAATTTCCGCAAAAGCACTGACAGCTCAGCTTTGTTTTCCGCAAAAAAGCCCCGATCGCAAAAATGGCGATCAGGGCTTTTTTGCGCAAAAGTGCGTCTAGATTGGCACGGATGCTTTTCCGCAAAAAAAGCACTTTTTGCGGAAAAGTGTCCGTGCCAATCTAGATGCTCTTTTCCACAAATGCTTTTAACGGAAAACTTTTCCGTTAAAAGCGTTTGCGGAAAATTATGCCAGTCTAGACGTAGCCATGGATTTAACCCTGTGGACTGATTTGACTATGTGGCTCAGTTGCTGCCTGGATCCCTTTTATGATATCTACAAAGAACAGTCCCTGCAGGGAACATGGTCTTCTGACTGAAAATACATTGATCGTGATATATCTTCCCTTTTTTTTCAAATATTTTAATATAAATATTAAAACAAATAATTGAAGCCCAAGCACTCACCCAGTGTCCTTTTGGCCTGGGATTGCTGCACATAGCCAAACTGCAGTCTTGTCTTCACTTGTTAAGTAGTCTCTTAGATAATCTAGTCTCAATAGGTTACCATAGCATAAGTGACCCATCTCTATCTCTTTGTCACTTGTTTCTGGCTGTAGCAAACTGTCTCTCAGTCCATTCTTCTTCCTCTCTATGAGGTTGGCCACTGGATGGTTCTCTCTGATCCACAGGGATCTGAGTGTTGCCTCTACTGGCTCATGACTGTCTCCTGCACTTGTCCCTCTTGCATAACCTGGGTGCCATTGCATCTCTTCCAACTTCACTAGTCCCTTCCTTCTGGGGTTTCTCTATTAGCTGGATTCTAACGGTAGTGCCTGTCTGCAAACCTGGTACGTCCTCACTGGCCTATAATCTGGTGCCTCCTTTCTCTGACTAATGGTCATCTCCTCTTGAGAGTATCCCCTTCCTTCTGGCTGCCAAAGTGCTCGACTAACTGGTGTCGGGACTTTGATTTATTTATTTATTTATTTATTTATTTATTGGTCTTTGTCCCGTCAGGGCTTGGGCTGGGCTGGTTGGCGACCACGCTGGGGTATAACTGTGGGTGTTAGCTGACCAGCGGCTCCGGTCCCACAGACAGCCTTGCGCAGGAGTCTCTCACAATCATCCGTGAGTCGTAGCTTGTGGCTACTCTGCCCTTCTCACCAGCTCCACTGAACACGACGCAGGCGGCAGCAGAGGCATGACGCAGGGGCACGAAACCCTGCAGCAGGCGCGAGGGACAAAGCTGGGGTATAACTGTGGGTGTTAGCTGACCAGCGGCTCCGGTCCCACAGACAGCCTTGCGCAGGAGTCTCTCACAATCATCCGTGAGTCGTAGCTTGTGGCTACTCTGCCCTTCTCACCAGCTCCACTGAACACGACGCAGGCGGCAGCAGAGGCATGACGCAGGGGCACGAAACCCTGCAGCAGGCGCGAGGGACAAAGCAAAGGACAATTCAACCGGCGGCCCGTTGCTGAAGGAGCTGTAGGCCGAAGAGCTACGCTCCCCTCCCCCGAGCCCCTCAGCAGCCCCGGCAGCCAGCGGGCGCGCGC